ACCACATTTGCTTATTCACCCGCTTTGTCTTCAGCGGTTGTGTCGGGAAGGTGAGCATCATAGAATGTCAATTTACTAGAAGAAAGTATTCTTGCGTTGAGGGAGTACTTGTTTACTCCATTCTCTTATCACTGTCTTTTAATGATCCATATGAGTAGATTGGGCCCACCAGGATAATATCCCTATTTCAAGATATCAATTGAATCTCGAGATAATAATCTTCAAAGTCCACTTTCCATGTCAGATAACATCTGTAGGTTCCAGGGATTATGGAACGGGGATTTCAGGTGACACTTTATTCACCTTACCTCAGTGCCCATCAAGAATGTCGCTGAGCATTCACCAACCCATTATGTGAAGAGACTGTCCAAGGACAGTACTTGAAACCGCTACCAAGCTGCGTATAGAGCCGCTTCCCTCCCCTTGAACTGGAAACCCTCCTGATTCACAAGATTCACAAGGCAGTGGGCAAAGTCCACAGAGGGTCTTTCCTCAGGAGTGGGCTTATAAAGAACCCTGACTGAGCATTGCTCCAGTTCCACCAACTAGATCTTAAAAATAAGACACAAAAGGATCAAATACATCCCAAGTTTCTTAAGTGCACCCTAAAAATAGCTCTAGATTTAAAGGACTGAAAAATAGTTATAGGAAGAAAACCTTCTCAAAACCCAAACTCACTGCCATCTAGTCAATTCTGACAGAGCAACAAGGTAAAAACCACAACATCTGGCTTTACTAAAAATACCAGGCATACAAGAAGCAGAAAATCATATTCATACTAAGGAAATTAAGTAATCTGATACAGAAAACTGACCCAGGTGTTATAAATAGCAGGCAAACACATTAAAGCATGCTTTCTCAATGCAAACAATGAAGTAGATAGATTAAAAAAATATTAAAAAGACTGAAATCCATTCCTAAAAATGAAAACTATAATATCTATGATGAAATACACTGGGCAGATTATTGGAAGACTAGATACTGTAAAAGAAAATATTAATGATCTTGAAAACATCGAGAGATTATTATGAAAAACAAAAAGAAGCCCAGTGCCAGTGAGTTGGTTATGACTTATGGATCCCCTGTAGAGCAGAGTAGAACTGTGCCCCTGGATGTGTGAGGCTGCAAATCCTAACCGGAGCATCTCTCAGAGATCATGTAGTGGGTTGGAACTGCTGACCTTGCATTTCATGTGATTACTAATATGATTCGATTGGTTTAAATATTTCAGGTCTGAGGTAGAGATTGTCAGAGTTAAAACTCATTATGGCACCTATTAAAATGC